TTAATTAAACATGCTCTCAGTTATGCCAATAATAAAAGTGTAGTTCATATACAAAAAAACACACGCACACAAGGGGGAAATAGGGAGGGTGGCTGGTGCCACCTCCCACGGCTGCTGCTGTTGCCAGCCCTATGTTAACGGCGGCGGCCGACTGTGGTGGTGGTGGCAGCCGACCACCGTGGTAGTGTGTGAAAATTAAAAAGGGGAGGGGAAAAAATTAAAGGAGAGAGAAAATAAGAGGAGAGAGAGAGTTTACCTTTGGTATTTTTCACTGTGGGCAAAATCTAATTTGCTCCCTCTCTAAAACCCTCCTAAGCTTAAATTCCCTTTCTACCCTTAATGATCTCTTCTCCTGTTCAAACTAGTCCTTTGACTTTCCTTAAATACCATTGATTTTAAATTTCTTTTTATAAAATAATATGCCCCAAAGTTTCTAAATAATAAAATAAAATATTTTCAAAATAATTAAATAAATAAAAATGGACCTTTATTTAAAATAATTCTTTTTCAATTAATAAAATACCATAAATAATTCATTTTAAATTATTTAAATACTTTATAAAGTAATAATTTAAATTAAAATACATATAAAAATACGGAGTATTACACGGGACGGGTATGAAGTGGGGCGGGGATGGGGCGAGTACAACCTAAAATCCACCCCAGTATGATTTTTATCCCCATTTCCGCCTCACCACCCACCAAATCGAGACCCATCCCCGCCCCAATGAGGCGGAAATGGGACGAGTCTCTTACTTGACCCACCCCACTGACATCCCTACTTGGCCATCTGTCTCATATAGTAAAGCGCCCCTAAATTCCAATTTCCATTTTACATGGAATAAGCCAATTATAGGCCCGCCCCCTTAATAGAATTGTAGTGGAGTTATAATTGGAGTGACAGTGAAAGAGACTTGTCTTTATTTTATTTTACTTTAATATTTATTTGGTCACAAATTAAAGTGATTGGTCTTAATTAGGGAGATGGCAATAGTTTCATAGTATGGTTGGTAAAAACCTTCTAATTAATTAATCATGGATCATTCATTAAATGCTCAAGTATGGGTTGGTCAAATTTTTGGGCAAGAAATAGAATTGCTTGCAAGAACTACATTTTCTTCTTGGAATTTGATTTAGGAAAAATTGCCAAGAATAATACCACCTTTCGCCAGTCTGTTATAAATATTATCACCTTTATTTTATCCATGAATAATACCACCTTTACCATGGATCTTCAATAAATAGAACAAGTGACCGGTGACCTGCTAAAGGGGTAACCCTTAGCCACGTGTCACGTTTTTATAGGTTAGAGAATTTTTTTTTAATTTTACATTTTTTTTAAATTAGAAAAAAAAAATAAAAAATCAGAAAATAAATTTTAAAATCAGATTTTTTTTAAAAAGATCAGAAAAAAATAAAAAATCAGAAAAAAAAAATCAGAAAATTAATTTAAAAATCAGATTTTTTTTTTAAAAATCAGAAAAAATAAAAAAATCTGAAAATATTTTTAAAAATCAGATTTTTTTTTAAAATCAGAAAAAAAAAATAAAAAACTCAGATTTTTTTTTTAAAAATCAGAAAAAAAAAATAAAAATATCAGAAAATAATTTTAAAAATCAGATTTTTTTATTAAAAATCATAAAAAAAATAAAAAAAATCTGAAAATAATTTTAAAAATCGGATTTTTTTTTTAAAAATCAAAAAAAAAAAAAATCTGATTTTTAAAATTATTTTCTGATTTTTAAAAATATTTTCATTTTTTTTCTGATTTTTTTTAAAAAAAAAAATCTGATTTTTAAAATTATTTTCTGATTTTTAAAAACGTTTATTAGATTTTTTTAATTTTTTTCTGATTTTTTTAAAAAAAAAATCTGATTTTGTAAATTATTTTCTGATTTTAAAAAATATTTTCAGATTTTTAAAATTGCAAAATAAAAAAAAAAGCAACTGACCAATTACAAAGTGACACGTGTCACTCTAACCCCTTTAGCAGGTACCAACCGGTTGTTCTATTTATTGAAGATCCATGGTAAAGGTGGTAATATTCATGGATAAAATGAAGGTGGTAATATTTATAACAGACTGGCGAATGGTGGTATTATTCTCGGCAATTTTTCCTTTGATTTAAAGGATTAGGGTTGTATAAGAGTTGTCCATATTTGGACTTAATTAGTCATTAGAAGGCAAACTTGAGTTTTTGGAATCAATTAATAATAAATTAATCCTTTTTAAAAGATATGGATTATTTTTTAACGCGTGTTCATAAAAACTAAAAAGGTTTATGTTAATGTAATTATTCTAACATATCATCAAATAAGAATCTTATCATATATAGCTAGTTAATTTAAAAGTGTATTTATGGGAGTATGGGACTATTTCGAGATTGAGTTGTATTACTATAAACGTTATAATTGGTTTAATGGTTTGTTTAATCTAGGTGTTTTGCTTCTTGGCGTGTTGTGCATTAGTTTGGGCTTCTTATCTATCTTCAATATGTGGGATTGTGGGAAATTTGATCAGATATTGATGGTACACAAATTCTTCAAAAAGGCGGGTATATTTTAATTTATTGTAATAGATTAAGTATATTAGACTTTTTAATATGTAATCATGAATCTATAAGAAATTACACATTAAAATAAAATTCAAACCAACGACAAATTAAACGTTACCCTTTAAAGGATTAAAGTTAATATAAAAATAGTTAAAGTTACTTTCAAACTAACCGTCTTACAATAAAATTAACGTACACCCACCCTATACAAGACTTTCACTTGATATTGAACTAGGTGGTGTGCAGTTGTGGCTAAAATCAAACAAAAACTTATCTAGTGCAACGATAAATAGGTAAAAATCTAAAAATTATGATTTTTATTTGTAACAGCGATAATATTTTACTTATGGCCTCCATTTTTTTTTTGAGTGCAATACTTTTTAAAAAAGACCTTTTTTTTTTTTTTAAGTGCTATAATCCTAAAATTGGAATTCCTTTACACTTTTTATTAGCAAATCTATTCTGATATTTTCATAGGTGAATCAATCTTACATTCCCCTTTTGTCCTCCATCATATCAACTGATTACCAATAGGGTTGTTCACCGATAAAAGATCAAATCTGACCGAAGATCGGAAATTTGAATTTTAAGAACCGAAGACTGGACAGGTTAGGCTAAGACTGGACCGAAATGAATTGGAAAAACTGATCCAAAATCTGGACTGAATCGGTTTTAAGTAGTTTTAGAATATATTTTGAAAAAATTCAAAATTTTAAAAACACAACATGAAAAAGTTAAACTCGAAAAAAAAATATATAGGAAAAACCATTAATTGACCAATACTATTTGTTATTCGATTTTGTTTTGTACTATGTTGGTGTTTACTTTGATTTTATACATTATTTACAACTTCCCATCTTGTTCATAAGTACACTCTATTACATAAGTATATTTTTTTCAGACTAAATAATAAAATAATTTTTTTTTTGAACTTGTTGAGAAAGAAAATGAAAAAAATGCAATGTAGCTTGTGCATTGAGATTGCTCTTGCATCAATGAAGAATTGTTGAAGTTTTTTATGTGTTAATAAGTGATACCTTAATTGTCCTAATAGAGAAACTGTATTTTAGAGTTTACTTTGTAAAATATTACTCGTATTTTGAAGAATTGGATAAAAAAGTCATTAATAAATAGGAGGATATATATAACGTACATAGTCCGTTGAAATTAGCATGTGCAAAGATCTTGTCTTTCGTAAACTATCACTATGCTGGAGTAGAAGCCACTAAACTAGGTTCTTCTTCTTAAAATTTTCGAGTGCACAATGTTTATCGTAATCACAACAATTTAAATAATCCCTCCATTTCATATATATTGTCATCTATTTATTTTGCATGGCTTTTCAGACTTACTTTTAACCAATATCTTAAATACATATTAACAAAAATTATAAAAAAATGATAGTATAAACTTCACCTATATTTTTTTAATATTAACGAAAGCATTTTGGTAAAATATTTTGAAAAATTGACAATGAACATGAAAATGAGTACTATATTATGGAATAGAGGAAGTAAAGCATTTATGTATCCCTATACATATGAACAAAAAGAACATAGTTCAATTTGAAAAAACCATCAAAAATGTCTCAGCTACCCTATTAATATACGGAGTATAAAACAAGAATAATAAATCAATATTAATATGAATTGGGAAAAGAGTGAGAATAGACAAGTAATTAAATTTAAAAATCCGAGATTATTCAAAATTCGTACGTGATTTTGATGTCCCGAATGATAGATGATCGATTTCCATGCTCCATCTTATGAACATCATAATAAAGATGAAACAAATTATATCAAACACGATACATTGATGCGTATTAGGTTTCGATTAATGCGTTAGGGTTTATTTAGAGATGGCTTAAAGTTTAATGATATTTGGAGGCATAAGGATTTTGTCTATGGTAGGACGTGTAAGTCAAGAAGTGAAGTGTTGTTGCATATCCATAAGATATATAGACATGAGCACACGATTGTGCAAGAAGAAGCATATCCATTACCACTAATTTAAGACTAATATCACCACTACGACCCTGTTTATTTCACCTTATTTTTGTTGAAATGAAAGTATTTTGCTGAACATAAATTAATTTTACTCAACTGAAATTATTTTTACTAATTCTCCTATTATTTTGAATGGAACTGATTCTCTATTATAAATCTTCCTTACATTTACAGATTTTTACTGAACTAAATTAAACTTAATTTAGTAAACTGATTATTTTGACTGAACTAAATACTTGAATTATTTTTATAAGGTGAAGTAAATAGGGCCTACCACTAATTCATTAAAGTCAAAATATATCCAAAAAAAAAAAAGAAAAAGAAAAAAGAAGAAGTATTATATTATTTATAATCTCGTACTAATATTTTCTATATACTTCGTATAAATCATAATCAATAGAGTGAGATCAGATCTGATATTTTAATAATTGTAGTAATTAAATGTAAGTGATTAATTAAGATACTAAACAATTAGTAGGTGAATTGTGGGAAGTGTAAGTTGACGAAGACTCTAAGAGCATGTTGCCTCATAACACACTATAAGTACAATGCTTGTTCGTTGCATGGTGAAGGCCAGGCTAGAACAATAGCCATAAAATCTACTTGTTCCAACATAAAAAGGCTAGGGAAAAGAAAATTCTAGAATATGGTAGTCTTAGATTTCTTACTAGTGTTAGGTTTAACCATCATCTTTCTCATTCTTCTTCTTCTTTCAAAAAATCGAAAAACTAAAGTTTATAATCCTCCCCCTGGTCCAAAAGGGTTTCCAATCATTGGAAACTTCCACCAATTTGGCCCCCCAAAAACAAATTTCGCCGAATTTTATACATTAGGCAAGACCTACGGACCAATTTTGAAGCTTCGATTGATGAAGCAATCGATGATTGTGATTCAATCAGCGAAGTTGGCCAAAGAGGCAATGCAAACAAATGACAAAAATACATGTGATAGACCAGTAACAACCGGTAGAAAAAAGGTTTCGTACAACTTATTAGATGTAGCATTTGGCCCTTATAATGAGTATGTTAGAGAAATGAAAAAGATACTTTCGGCTCATTTTTCGAGCTCCAAAAACATGCAACTTTTTGCTAACATACGAAGGGAAGAAGTTACAAGGTTGATGCAAAAGGTTTCTTCTTTATCTTCTGCTTCTAAACTCATCAACTTGAACGAATTGATTATCAATTATGCAAGTGCCAATGCAAGTAGGTTTAGTTTCGGCAAGAGGTACATACTACTCCCTCCGTGATTTTTTTTGGTTTTGTTTTTTGTTTTATATACACTTCTCTTTCTCGGAAACCAAAATTTATATTTAGACCTTGTATTTTACCACCAAAAAATAATCACATTTTATTTTTATTTTATTTTAAAATACTACCTAAAAAAGACAATTAGTTAGATTTCACTACCATTTAACACTTTCCGTCAAAAAACTTGTTAAGTTCCATTTTAAAAAAAAATTAATCATTGATTTTCGTGCCAGCATTTGCTCTATTAAGGTTTTAGGGTCATTTTGACTCTATAGGGTCCGAAAATGCCTCTTTTTACGTGCATCACGCAAACTGAAGTATTTTTTTTAATAAGCAAATGAGACTTTTTCCAATATCTTTTTTTGACAATTTTGACCTCGCATCAAAAAAAAATGTTTTGGCGCGGAAATCAAATATTTTTTTTAAAAAAGTTAGATTTAACAGTTTTCATGACGGAAAATGTTAAGTGGTAGTCAAATCTAATTTTTTTTATCTTTTTGGGATGGTATTTTATTATAATAATTAAAATAGGTGATTAGTTCAAAAAGTGGGTTATTTTCGAGTGGTTGAATAAAAAAATATTAAAATATCCAAGTAGTATTTGGAGTATCTCATAACATTTACTTCTTTCATTTTATTTAATAGCAACGAACACATTTATTTTTACAATATCCACATATCATATAGTAATTATTTTGTAGGAAAAACTGCATAGCTATGCAAAATCTTATTATTCAATTTGTCTAGCTACTTATTAAGTATTGACAATACTGACATACGATTGAAATTATACATGGACAAGTCTGAAAATTAAAACGTTACAACTAGGAAACATGCATACGTTACAACTAGGAAACATGCATAGGGGCTCTAGTAAAATTTAATCGTAATACAGAGTATTAATTACCTATGTTTGGTACGCAGGTACAACGACGAAGAAGTGTTAGGAAACAAATATCATAGGCTTCTACATGATGCTGAAACTATGTTCACAGCTTTCTTCTATAATGATTATTTCCCAATTGTTGGTAATTTGCTTGATAAGCTCACTGGAAAATCTTCAAGGCTTGAAAAGATTTTTAAGGAATTAGACGCTTTTTACGAACAAATCATCAACGATCATCTTGGAGATAACAAGCTTAATTCAGAACACGAATATGTAGTTGATCTTCTGCTTCGCCTCAAGAATGACACTTCCTTTCCATTTAAACTCACAATGGAGCACATCAAAGCAATTTTTTTGGTAATTTAATCTATCTCTTAGAATATACTTTTCGAATTTCTTAGTGTCTTAATTAAAATTAAATGTAGTTTTTTGATTGATCACATTTTTTAATGTAGTACTTTAATGATGACATTTTTTATATGCACGCAATCAGTTATATTTTATGCATGCATGACCAATTTGATGACCGGTATAACTAAAATTATTTATTATTTTCCCATATTGTACCAATTGAGTAAGTGGGTCAAAAAAAACAGCTTGACAAGTTACAACCAGTTGTATGATGAAAATCTCTTAAAACGAATGATCAACAAACATTGCCACTAATTGATTACAATTATTCATGCACAAACTTTGTTAAGTAGATGTTCAATAAACTTATAACCGAAGCATGTAAAGCCCTAATTATGTTAGCTAATAGCCCAAATACATGCAATGTTTGCAGAATCTTTTTGCTGCTGGAGCAAATAGCAGCACAGCTACAATAATATGGGTAATTTTAGAGCTAGTAAAGAACCCAATTTCAATGAAAAAAGTGCAAGAAGAGCTAAGGAATGAAGCACAAAAAAAGGGTACTACTTGTATAGAAGAAATTGATCTCCCAAATCTCGAATACTTCAGGGCAGTAGTTAAGGAAACACTTAGGTTGCATCCCCCAGCGCCATTGTTGATTCCGCGAGAAGTAGTCCATAAATGTGTTATAGGAGGATACAACATATTACCCAAAACTAAAATTTTTATTAATGCATGGGCTATTGGACGAGATCCTGAATGTTGGGAGGATCCAGAAAAATTTATTCCGGAGAGGTTTGTGGGGAGTTCAGGGGATGTTTTCAAAGCGCTTGAATGCTTTGCAATGATTCCTTTTGGCCGTGGAAGAAGAATGTGCCCTGCTTACTCTCTTGGTGTTGCTAACCTTGAGCTCGCGCTTGCCAATTTGTTATACTCTTTTAATTGGGAGTTGCCTACGGGTGTAAACAAGCAAGACGTCGATAACAAAACGAACCCTGGTATTACAATGCTCAAGAAAAACACCCTTTACCTTGTTGCGAACAAATTCTGATTCATATTTGTACTACATCCTCTTTCCCTTCTCCATCTTGTTATATGTTTAGGGTATACTTCCTTCAAAAATAATACTATTTCGAAATTAAATATTATCTCCTTTTTATTTTGTTTTAATTCGGTTTTTGTTTTTAAAATGTACTAACAATTTAGTGATTCAATTCTACAAGTTACGTGCGTCCTTTTTTCTTTTTCTTTTTTTTTTGTAAGTTTGCCAAAGATGGAATATCAATTATGTTTAGTCGGTTTGATTAAATATTGTTAAACGCATCAACTCAACCAAAAACTTAAGCTGACAGTTGAAGCCCAAAATTAGTTTATATAATCTATCATGCCCCTCACATGAGAGCTTGAAATGTGGATGCGATGTAACATCCTAAAAATTTCTTTCCCTTAAAATACCTGTTTTGCCCTTTTAAAATACGAAATAGGAAAATCTAAGACATTACCGCCACCGTGAAAACGGCTAAGGCAATTATCAAAGACACATAGCGGAAGACTATCCCTAAAACCATTCAAGACAAGTCAACTTAAATATCAAACTAAACAAAAGTAAAGTCAAACCAAAGTCAAACAAAGTCAACCCACAACTTGGAACCATTGTAAGCCTTTATTAAAACCGAAATAAAACTCAAAACCTTTGCGTTAGTCTCACAAGAAAAACATAATAATGTAATTAAAGCAATAAATCACATCATATTCCTATGGAAACTAAACATGATTCGCTCTTCACTCATGCCCATCATGAATATGCTTCATCACCTGAAAAGCTTCTCTTTAATTTATCCCCACTACTCGCCATTAGAAATGGGTCGTCGTAGGGCCAAGATAAAGATAAGGCCAAACAAACATACAAACACACAATTAGCATTGCTGAGTACATAAGCGTATTTTATTCAATTCAAGTATTATATTTTCTTCTTCTCTTTGTTTTATTTTCTTTATTATGCTAGAGTATATTATTATTCTAGGGTTGAGTTAAACCCTAATATGATTGATACTTGATTTATTCTTTTAAATTCTCAATCAATTGTTTACGTGTTCATGCTTAATTGATTGTACTTATGTCAATACTAGATTAAGGATAGTTGACATTGCTATAATTCCATTGTCTTGATCGTAACGAAGTTGGGTTTTGACGGATTTGATTATTTCAATCAAGGACATGAAATTCTCCACGAAAGTAGGTAGAACGGATTTTTAGGAAGTTAGGGTGATAGATTTAATGTTTTTAATTTGCATGATTCTGTAGAAATAGGTTTGAGTGTTGATTAGGGAAGTCATTAACAATTCGATCGGGAGAAATCTTTGGAATTTTATAGGGCGTATCCTTCCTTGTGAACATATATATAATTGATTGGTTGGGGTAGGAATTTGTCTTGTATTGATTGTGCTAGTGGTGATACCTAATTCTAGATGTTTTTTAATTATTGGATTATTGTCTTGCTTTAGTAGTAGTTTGATAACTCCGACCCTATTTTGATTGACTCGACTAGTCATAAATTATAGCAACCTAATATTGATACTAATTTTTTCTGTGTAATCGACCATGACTTACTCTACTAATAAAAGGCATATTTATTTATACTAACAAAAATTATTATGAAGGATACGTATGAAAATAATAAAAACTTAACGAATACAAAGTCCTAACTCCTAGATTTATTAGATTTATACTTATCCTACTAACAAAAATAATAAAAACTTAACGAATCATCCTAATTATGAATGATACTATTTGGGTTTGAGAAGTGTGGAGAATGGTTCAAAAAGGTATAAGGGTGTATAGCTTTGGATTTAAGCTATGGATTGATTGCTTGGTGCAAAGCAACAATAATGAAAGGTAAGGGCTGACTTCAAATGTCCATATCACAAAATATAGAAATGATATTGAGATGATTCAAGTTGGAGGTGATAACTCGTCTCATCAAGAGCTTTCAAACGATTGGTCATAAGCTTGATTTGGTCATGAATCAAGAAAGTTAGTTATGGCCGTTTTACGAAGAGATATCATGCTGTCGAAGTCACTGTCTTGAAGTTTGACCGAACCTAAAGGGAGTTCGACGGAACCATACCCGGTTTGCCCGAACCTGAGGTAGGTTCGGCCAAACCTTGCTGGATCTATTTTGAGTGGCTTGTTTCTCCTTCTTGCTACGTGTTTTTAATCTTGAACATATGATAGTTTATTATGTCTTGCACTATATGTATATACTCATGTTTAGTCATTTTATTAGTGTAAGAGAGACTAAGAGAGAATTAGATGAAGGGAAATGTAGAGAGAGAGCCTCAAATGTAGACCCAAACACCTAGGGTTTGAGTGTTTGAGAGGATGAGTTTGATTTGGGGTCGGAGCTTTCATGGTGCTTGAAAGCTTGTCAACAACATTATTCTTCATCAAAGTATTACTTTATAGTAAATTGGTGGGTTTTTCTCCTGGTTCTCGAGTTTTCCACGGTAAATTCTCCTTGTCTCTTTGTTTACTTAATTTTCGTCTTCGTTATTGTTAATTGTTGTTAATCGCGTACAAGTTAGCACATGCAATACGTTTATCCTTTCAGTAAGTACACATTCATAACCTTCAATTGAATCATTTAATATAAAATTTAGGTTAAGTATTTAAATTTGTGAATAGTAAACAAATTGATAAGAATTTAATTGCATACATGATCAGTTATCCACATATCGTGATACAAACACCAAGATTCACCCACGCTTAACCGGTGAATTGATATCTCTTTTGCCCGATACAATTCATCATTATATTGTTTTCTTTGTTTTGAACTTTTAAGCATATCTGTTTCTCCACAAATGATAGCTGTAATACGTATTCAAGGAATATTGGACGTGGCGCTTGCACTTCAAGGATCCATTTAGGTTCCTTTTTTCATCATAACTCTGTACTTGAGTCATGTTTAATTGATTGGGGTCGAAGATCCTACAATACCAAACTCAAGTTAGTTTTTTACGCAGGTAATATCCAAAGTGCATATAGATAGGTTAATAACATAATGATGAGCATATTTACAAGGAAAATTTGTTTAAAAGGACCACTTAAGTGGTCTCTTTTGTTTAGAAGGATCTAATAAGTAAAAGGTGGCTTAAAAGGACGACACTTGGGATTGTGGGTGGGGGGGGGGAGACCTAGTCCAATTTTCAGGCAAGTCAACGCCGAATTTCGGCATTGACTGTCACGTGCATGACACGTGACTCACTAAGTTGACCCCAAAAAAAAAAAAACCCTATTTTCCACGATTTTCCCCATTTTTGCCCTTTAACCCTAATTTTCCTCTTTCCCCTTCATTCTCTCTTCTCATTGCACTGTTCATGGCATTTAGTATTGTCTACCATTGTTGGTGAGGTCAGAGCAGCAAGTCAATTGGGTATTAAAGGTAAAGTCTTTCTCTTCTACTCTCTCTTGTCACTTTCTTTTCCTTATTAAGACTGTTTCCTCATCAATTTTGTTCAATTTTTTTTCCGACCTTATCAATGGCGAAAGGAAAGGAAAGCGCAAGGCTAAGGCAAAAAAAGCACAATTTTCAAAGACTTGATATTCAACTACACTAAAATCCAAAAATCGAGGTAAATTCAGACAAAACAAAAACGGCTACTTCAACCTAAATTCCCTAAATTCAGACAAAAATAAACCTAATTCACAATGTTTACCTTATGCGAATTCTCCTCAATTGCAGTCCGAATGAATTCGTTTGGAAAAAAATTGCGCAGTTATGGGTTGCATTTAATCTAGGGTTACAGAAATGAGGAGAGAGAATGAAGGGGAAAGGGCAAACCGTGGAAAAAGGGGAAAAAAAAGAAAAAAAAAAATTGGGTCAACTTAATGAGTCACGTGCCATGCACGCAGGAGTTTGACGTTGACTTGCCTGAAAATTGGACTAGGTCTCCCGCCACAACCCTAAGTGTCTTATATATGGTCCTTTTAAGCCACCCTTTACTTATTAGGTCCTTCTAAACAAAAGAGACCACTGAATTGGTCCTTTTAAACAAATTTTCCTATTTACAATTTACAAACATAATCACCGTTTTCCAATAGGCATAACTAAAATAAACAAACTCAGGATTATACCGAATAAATACAGAGTCAACAATGGAGAATGTCACCTTTTCGGTGTTTGCATTCGGGGTGCATCCTCTTTGATTTTGATTTTGATGATTTTGCCTGCGTATATTGATAAATTTTGTGACGTGCATACCACATTGAGGCGATTATAAAATAAGTTAAATATTGGAAATATGATTAACAATTCAAATAGAGTTTGGTCGTCTTTTTCGGGTAGGCATGTCGTTGATTTATTAATCAGTGTCCCCTGTTCGTTTGAATTGCTCTTTATCCCGCATTTTGGCTTTAATGACCAAATCACCTTTGAAACTTTCACAGTGTTGTTGGTTTGTACATTTCGCTCTTGATCTACTCTTAGGCTTTTGCTCTAACTTTGGTTCTTCACAGATTAAGCTGCTTGTTTCACCGTTGATTTTGCTTTCACAGTTTTCAATTTGATGTCAGGTGAGGGTTTAGCTTTATCTTTTTCTTTCTTACATATATATATATATATATATATCCTTCAATTTGACTCAGTGAATCTAATACTACTAATTAATGTCGAAATAAAAATTCAACATGTTTTTCATCTTCGTCAAAATCAACGGATGTATCCACATCTAATTTACGCTTAGTGGTTGAAACACGTGAACTAACAAGTAAATCACATGAGCGATTTGGAGTTTTCCATCGGCATCACCTTCTTTAACCGTAGAACACTGCGTGCCTGGCATTGGATGATTCAGGAACAATAGATATACTACCACCATCGAACTTGGAAGTGAGTCGATCCAAAATGCTTGAGACTTTTGAATTAACATCCTTCTCAATTTTTCTTATTTTTTATTCATAATAAAAAGCATACACGAAATCAAATTTTTTTCCATTGACTGATTTTAAGATACAATTACGGAAACCATTGAAATATATAAATCCTAGCTAGGAGCAAACATTCACCTAAAACTAAACCCTAGTGGCGCATAAACATTAGTTTAGAAAAAATTAAATACACTAACCGTGCACGGTGCATAAAACATTAGATTAGCAAAAATTAAATACACTTACAGCAATATAAATCAATTAATGTCCATAGATAAAATATCACATTTTTTTTAATGGATAAAATATCACATATAAATCAATTAAAGTTCATAAACACAACTCAAAAAATATATGAATTGGGAGCATAATTAACGAAATGTTCATAAACACAGTTATAAAAATATAAACTAATTAATAACCACAAATTAAATTACAAAATTATAAATAAATTAATATTCAAATATATACAATACGAAATTATATGGATTTGGAGCAAAATTAACGAATAAACTTGTATCTGCATTTTAAACCATGATGGAAGTTCAAGAGTATTAGATTGTTTAAGTTGTGTTAAATTAGGAAAGCAAAGTGTGAACAACTAAAAAAAAAAAAATTTAACTGCACAAGAGCTTGGGTAGGAAAACGGTGTATGTCGTAAGAGAGGAAAAAAAAAAACCTTAATTTGACAATAAC